AAAGAATGATAAAGCCGACTTGTTGGCTTCCAAGGGTGCAGAAATTGTATACGTTGACTATGATCAGCATGACAATCTTGTCAATGCTCTGAAAGGAACCGACGCTCTAATCAGTACCGTAGCTCCGGCACGGACCGCTACTGTTTGGGACTTTGACGCTCTTCAAACTCCCTTATTGGATGCTGCTAAAGCTGCCGGTGTGAAAAGGTTTATTCCATCTGAATTTGGTATAGATTATAGGTAAGTTTGGTAAATTCGTCTTTTAGTAATTATGCATTTATAACTAAACTGTTTATATGTGTACATTTTATTCTGTCTAAAAAAAAAGAGTTGGAGATCATCCAGTGAGCGATACCAAAGCCTCGTTCCGTGAAAAGGTTCAAAACAGTGGACTTGAGTACACCATTATTTTGTGCGGATTGTTTGCAGAATTTCTCGGCTGGTTTGCGTTTGATGTCAAAAATAAGACTGCTACATTTCTCGTAGACGGCAGCACCAAATTAGCCGTTATTTCTCTTTCAGATGTCGCCAAATTCACCGCTGAATCTCTCAAGTTGAATGAATGTCGTAACACTACTATTAGAGTTATTGGTTCGAGTTTGCCATTAAACGAGATACTGAAAAACTTTGAACAAGCTACCGGTGAGTCTTTACGTTTTTACGTTTTTTTCTTCTGCAGAAAAGAAATACGGTTGGATGATTGTTAACTATGTTTAATTTGCGTAGGCTCTAAATGGAAAGTCATCGAAGATAAAGACGCAAAACACAGGTTCCAAAATAAGATTGATCCGATTCCTTCACCGATGGATATGTATAAAATCGTTATTGTGGAAAGGTCTTTGTCAGATGACAACATTGATAACGACAAGTTTAGTTTTAGCCCTCGACCCCTCATTGAAGATATCAACGTGCTTGTGAAGCAGACGTAAATTTTACTTTATAAGTGACAAATTTAGAATTGAGCTTACAACGCTTTTATGGTATTGAATGAAATAGATATTTGTCCCATCCAACGTCAATAACGAAAATAACGAAAATAACAAAATAAAAAATGAATTATTGTGCATTTACTTTTTCAATAAGTGATTTTCAAACGGTATAAAAACGTTTTTTACAATATGGCAAAAATAATTACAACGTACGGTGTTTCAATTAAGGCAGCTGATATTGCCAAATTAACGTTTGGAAGAGCAGTTGATTCCAACTCGTAAAGTTTTAGCTAATATCAAAGGAGCACGGCATGACTTTTCTAATTCACTGTACACAGTTAGCGACCAGTCGCTCAACTTTTCACACATTAGCGTGACAATAATTTTATTGTTTTCAAAACATTCGTCGATTTTTTACTACTGTATTAGTTCAGTAATCTATCGGACATTTACTCAACGAATAACTATCGTATTAAATAACTGTTGGACGAGTTAGCAATTAAGTCTTCCAGAGATAGTGGAACCAAAATTGTTTAGAGAACGGAGTTTTGATTATGCATTGCGCTAAAAGTAACAATAAATGCAACATTTCATTATTCAAGCATTTGATTCTTACTATGAAAACACTAATCTCTGCGCCCCGGTGTCAATTTTTTTGAATAGTAAAAAATACCTAAAGTTTTGCCCATTGTGCAAACGCAATAAACTAAATTTGACGGTAACGTAAAACTTGGCAGACTAAATAGTGTAAGACATGAGACAAGATTATACGTGTATTTTGCACAATTAATAATTTGAGATGCTTGTACAATATAGCTATTATGTAAATTAGTTATAGTCTTGCGTTACATTAATCAATAACAAACACGTGATAAGCGATAAATAAGAATCAAGTCATTACAGTCAGTCGCAAGCATTGACAGGACCAACGAAAGGATAAATTGGCTTATTGCAGAAATACGCAATAATAGTTGAATGGGTAAAAATATCGAGAGATTATGGGTACGTTAAAATATTTTTGGCAAGTGTAAAGAGTATGTTTCAATAAGGGTTTGATTTTATCTATCACAATTTTAATTTTTGTTGAATTGCCTGGATTAGTAGTAAGATTACTTTGGATATATGTAAATAGTTTATGACAGATTGTAGGTATATAAATGTGAGAAATAAGAATAGAGCACAATATTTGTCATTAAGTAACGTAAAGCGTTGCAGTTTAAAAAAGACCCCAGCATTTTTGAAAAATTATAAATTTGAGTAAATGGTAATTCAAATAGTAGAGTGGGAGACAAGGGGGGCAAAAAACGATGACTATTAATAGAGGCCGATTAGTAACATTGGTTAAAAAACTTGAGACGTTAGTTTACTGGCGACTCTTTTTTTAAATTAATAGCTACATTATTCATTATTTATTTTATTAAGAAAATAATGTAATAATAATGTACGTTCAACCGCAGTACAACCATGTTTTATAAGAAAATAAATTTACGGCTTTCTCATATTAATCACATTTTTTTAGTTCACATGATTAACTTAACTAATCTGTGCGACAAAGACATGCAGAAATATATGACAGATGATGATTAGAAATATTATTATTATTATTATTATTATTATTATTATGACAAATTGTTACCCAAATTTAAGTGGAAGAGCAATGAAATTGCGTAGATGTGTTCTGCCGAGACAATTTAGCTCTGATCGCTACTCTTACACAACAATTGTTTACTTAGGGCTGAACTAAACTGATAAGTGATAATAATTATTTTTGTTTGCGTTTTGCTTTTACCCCTATATGGTGTATGCTCGTATCCACCTACAATAATATACCAACAACAATTATACTATCGTAGAATCGAAGGGAAAAATTTAATGTCAAATTTAAACAGGGCAGTCTTCGATGTGGTGTTTCGACTAGTCGGGAAACATCACTTATTCTCTAATTAAATAACAAAATAATTATCGTTCGAGAATCTCTACTATTTTATCACTGCCATGAAATGAACGATCTATTGCGTTGACAACTTTCTTTTTTCACAAACTATACAAGCGAAAATCTATTCCTAACAACCTTGTAAAACCATCGGTCACGTAGGAGCGTGTCAATAATTTAGTATCAGAGAACGGATAGAAACAAAATAATAAATAAATTAAGAATATCGTGATCAAGATCATCGTTTATTATTTTCAATACTTCAGCATCGAATATTATTCAACATGCAACATTTACAACATGAGGATTTGAGACAGTCAGGAAGGTTTGCTCATATACATTTTGGCTGTCCTACGTCTATCACCGAAATTGCGTTATTTTTCTTCTGCATCTTAACACCATTCCCATCTATTATTAACTATTATAGTCAATAATTCTTTCCGACACTTTATGATCGTACAGCATATTCTGCATATGGAGTGGCCATTCATCGAATCATCGTCAATTATAACTAACACAAATGGGCTAATTTGACTAGCGTGTAAAAGTGTCGGAAAGAAGTGTCGGAATTATTGACTATAATTTATTAACTAATGTTTATATTTGTGTTCCAACTATCACCAGAATTCCGTTACCCGTAAAATCTTGAGTCTATCTAATTGATCGTCAGGGGTATTGTTTGATTGCTGCAACAGATAAAAAGAATGAAGTATGAAGTGGAGAAATGTAAGAAATAAAACTTTCTCGAGCCTGGTGTGGGAGGACATAGTCAAGTGCATATAATAAAGATAAAGCCCCTTGGAAGGTCTACAAAATGAGTATTTGTTGGTTACTGCGGGAATAAAGAACTTGATAATAAAGAAAAAATAATCGTCATAAGTACTTATAGCTAATTAATCTACATTTGTTTAGACAATAGTTTCCATACTAATACAGTAGTGTTTTCTTAATTTTATATTTATTATCAAAAATAAAATTTGTTTAGCTTGGACTAGAGCTAGATAACAAATTGATATTTGATAACATGTTTTTTGCTAAATCACCAATAAATCAATAAATTTTATTCTAAAACTTTTTCAATCCAATGCACTTCAATCTAATTGTACCTATCCAGAGATGTATAAAGCTTTTTTACCAATACTATTGCTCCTGCATTTGTAGTATTATTTTGTGCAAAATTCAAAAAAGTCAGAGATGAATTTGATTCTAAAGCCTTTGCAATGTAAATGCATCTCCAATCTGATTATTCTGAAGATTCAAAAAAGTCAGAGTAAGAGATGAATTTGATTCTAGAGCCCTTGCCAATGCTGTTGCTCCTGCATGTCCAATCTGGTTATAATCAAGATTCAAAGAAGTCAGAGATGAATTTGATTCTAAAGCCTTAGCCAATGCTGTTGCTCCTGCATCTCCAATCTGATTATAACCAAGATTCAAAGAAGTCAGAGATGAATTTGATTCTAGAGCCCTTGACAATGCTGTTGCTCCTGCATCTCTAATCTGATTAGAATCAAGATTCAAAGAAGTCAGAGATGAATTTGATTCTAGAGCCTTAGCCAATGCTGTTGCTCCTGCATGTCCAATCTGATTATTCTGAAAATTCAAAGAAGTCAGTAGAGCCCTTGCCAATGCTGTTGCTCCTGCATCTCCAATCTGATTATAATTAAGATTCAAAGAAGTCAGAGATGAATTTGATTCTAGAGCCTTAGCCAATGCTGTTGCTCCTGCATGTCCAATCTGAT